TTAAATGGCATAATGTATATTAACATTTATATTTCACAATTATTAAACATCGTATAACAATATCCATTAATTAAAAAAACTGGGTATGTGTTTCATTCATTCACAATATTTTTCGGTTTAGCTTATAAACAAATCAGATATTTATGTTTTGTTACAGTTCTGTTACCTACCTGAGAAAGTAGGAAACATTACAAATCGATGAAATAACACATTTTTAACTTTTTACTTTTTAAAATTATTTTATTCAGTGTTTTGATTTTAAATGTCCCAAGAAAATAGATATGTTGAAATGCAAGCCCTGCATGAATCCAGTTATTTTAATATCTACAGGGTGGGCCAATGGAAACTTTTCACCCCGATTTTTTTGGTTTAAAATAAAAATCTGGGAAAACGCTCGGATACGTTGACTTTTGATTTGAGGAGGAACTATTTTTCAGTATTTTTTCATCTCCATAGCTGGGCAGAGAATAAACCCCCAAATTTGAATAGGGGATAGGGGTCATGCCATACCTCTTTTTAAAGGTCTCATCGAGTTCTTTATGACCCTATAATTTCGCCTCATTATTTTTATCTGTAACGAAATGACAGCTTGTCAAAATAAAAATAAATAAAAATACTTATTAATTTATTAATTAGGTCTACACGTGACCTTTATCTAACAAACTGCTATTCACAAAAAGTTCACCCCGGTTTGTTTAGGAGTTTTGTTAGAAATAATCTCAGCGGCAAGAATTATCGTTGCCATAGTGTATCCGAATATTGACATAAAAACTAGCAACAAAACATCCGTTTTTTTGACATTTGGAGAAAAAATTTTTGCAAAGTTTGTTTACTAAACATTTTTGTACGATCATTTTAAGTTTCAAGATTATCGTTAGTTCGAGAGATTGTAACTAGATTTAACTATGGTGTGCACTATAGATGAGCGGGTTGAATTGGTTTCTATTTACTTCAAAAACAACGACTGTGCAAGACAAACAGCACGACAATTTAACGAAAGACATCAGGATAAAAATGTCTCGCATACTTACGTTAGGGAGCAAGTCGCAGTTATAGGACATATTACAATGGTTAACACATTGAGTACTAGGCAATTGACCGAAGTCTCCGGCGTATCGCGAACAAGCGTTAGGAGAATTTTGAAGGGTCACAAATTTTACCCATACAAGATACAATTGCTTAACGAACTTAACGAGGATGATTATGACCGACGATTACAATTTGTAGAAGAAATGAGTGAACGGTGTATTGGCAATCCAAATTTCCTGTACAATATCTGCTTTTCAGATGAATGCTCCTTTTTTCTACATGGGTTGATCAATCGACATAATTGTCGATACTGGAGCGATTCAAACCCACATTTATTTCTCTCACACTCAACATCCTGAATAGTTGAATGTCTGGGCAGGTATCTTAGGCAATAACTTAATCGGCCCATTCTTTTTGCAAGACAATTTGACTGGAGAGATGTATCTTACTTTGCTTCAAGACAATATTGTTCCTAGAACAAGGGAGGTCATTGCCAAAGATAATAACTTGTCACAACATGAGTGTTTTTTCAACAAGATGGAGCTCCAGTCCATTATGCAGCCCCTGTTAGGCAATTCCTCAACGAAAATTTTAGAGGTCATAGGATTGGCCGTAGGGGATCTATTGAGTCCCCTGATCTTTCCTGTCTAGACTTTTTTCTTTGCGGCCATTTGCAGTCTACAGTTTATAAAACACAGCCAGCTTCTCTTCATGTTCTGCAAGAACGCATAACTGTAGAATGTCAAAGGATAACTGCCGATATGTTGCAGAATGTTAGAGAAGAGATAGAGAATTGATTTTATTATTGCATGGATATTAACGGCGGACATTTTAAACAGTTTGTTAGACAAAGTTCATGTGTAGACCTAATTAATAAATTAGTAAGTATTTTTATTTGGACAAGCTGTTATTTTGTTACGGATAAAAATAATGAGGCGAAATTGTAAGGTCATAAAGAACTCGATGAGACCTTTAAAAAGAGGTATGGCACGACCCCTATCCCCTATTCAAATTTGGGGGGTTGTTCTCTCCCCACCTAGGGGGTTAAAGCTACAGGGATGAAAAAAACTGAAAAATAGTTTCCCCTCAAATCAAAAGTCGACGTGTCCGAGCATTTTCCCAGATTTTTATTTTAAACCAAAAAAAATCGGGGTGGAGTTTCCATTGGCCCACCCTGTATATTTTGTGATTAAAATATATAAAACTGGTGATTTATCGTCAGAGGCGATTTATGAGAAGTTATCCTAAAGGACCAGGAATTTAAAGCAACTATATTCATCTAGTAGATATTAGGGGTAATGTTAAGAATGCAGTGCTTGGTGATTTAAGAAAATAGATTATATAGTCCTACCACCTTAATAAAACAACGAAAACCCATACATCTTACAATTAAGACATAATTTTTCTTTTTTATTGTCACTAATAAACCGATTTTTCTTTACTTCTGAAAGATCGAGTTTAGAAGTTTTTAGCCTCATTTTAAAACAAATTTCATAAATTAATTTATGTTTGACAATTTTGTTTCACAGTGTTAATTGTAATTTAAAAAAGTCAGTTTTAATATAGATTTGATAATTTATGTCTTAGTCAGGGTCGTTCCTGGGGTACTTGCCGCGCTGGTGCATAGAAAAATTGGCTGCCCCTACCCCGTAGTATGTATATATCATATCATTATGACATTATTAATATCGAGGATTAGAGATAATGGAGGTGTGTTATTAGAAACACAGATCGATTTACATTTGCACTAACAATATTCAACTGTAAAATATAATCTAAAAAGTCATAACAGAAATAATAATCAAAAGCTCTAAAACTCTCGCTCTATTGCGACTAGTATGAGAGGTATTCACAAAATATAGAATATAAAAATTTTGAGCTGTCTAAACGTTGTAAATCTGATGATAAGTAGGTAATAATTATTATAATCTCAGCACTCAGCATTCGTTTCGCTCGGGTTCTGTGTTTAATAATTAAGCGTTCACTTGTTCAATCTGTGCTTTTACATTTTTTTTAAACTAATGTAAAAAATTAAAGGGTCAAATGAATTTCCGAAATTTTTCCGCGATTTTTGACACTGTATTTAGGTAAAAAATGGTCGTATCGGGAATTAAAAAATAGCATTTTGAAGCTCCAAGATTATAGTTTTTAGATCTTTCGGTCGAAATTTTAAAAGTGTTACGGTTATCATGCAATTCTAAGAAATAGCGCGACAAAAAAATTTTGCAAGTTTTATTTTTTTTTCCAACTCCATTGACTTGGAAATTTTTTTTTTGAGCTAAGCCAGACCATGACCAGATAGCGTGTTTATTCATCTTCAATTTCCTTTTATTTTAAATTTCGATACGACCATTTTTCACCTAAAATTAAAAAAAAATCACGGAAAAATTTCGGAAATTCTTTTGACCCTTTAATTTTTTGCATTAGTGTATAAAAAAAATGTATTTTAAAACAGTGTATTTAATGCTACATTATTTATAAGACGAAAATTAATATACATTCTATCTTTGCAGTCTTTGCTGCTATTGTTTAAATATTTTTAGTTAGGAATCTGGGGAAGACCAGGTCAGAAAAGTTGAATTTTGGCCGCCTTGGTGCCGGGGCACCACCAGCACACTGCTCAGGAACGGCTCTGGTCTTGGTTAAGTCATTATATTTGAGATTTCATTAAAACTATTTCAGTTATGCTACATACTCCTAAGTTCATATATGATTGGAGTTAAATTGTGGCCATAAAAATTAATAACTAGAGTTTGACAGTGCATAAAAAAGAAATTGAGGTAACGAGTTCTATCGTCAGTTCATTTCAATCATTAATCTAAAGAAATTTTTACGTTCAAGCTATATCGATGAAATTTATTTTGCTGATTTATGCTGCGATGCAACAGTAATAAAATGTATGTTGTTAAATGATTTTCTTGGACTGTGTAAGATATACAAAAAGTCATTTTTTTTCCTTATTTTGACGTGTAGGATCCGATCCTGGAGTTTGGTATAAATTTCCCGACTCTACCTGCATATTATTATTTGCACAAACAATGTTTGATTTTACAAAATAGTTTATAGTTGTAACACTAAATATACAGTGTGTTTTAGTTCGAGTACACAATAAATAACTCAAAATTGCCTTATAAAACAAGGGTCTAAGTCTCACTGTTTTCACAGTGTACAGGGCCGTATTGGTCGGTTGTTTACGAAATCTTTAGTATGCCTATAACAAATTGATTCAAATTTGGTGTGGTGTTAACATTTGCACGTTTTATCTCATCTTATCAGAAGAACGGTCTCCCATTCAACTGAGATTTTTGGTAAAATGATATACCATACCGATTTTCAACAAGTATACCTTTTTTTATGTAGAATTGTACACGAAATCTAAAAATGAATCACAAATGATTATTAGGTCATTGGCGTAGAAGTTGGAGTAACAAAATCCCGCTTTATTACTCATTCCTACGCCTCTGACCTACAAAAATTTGTATATTTTACAGTAAATTATGCACGTGTAAGTGTTAACACCATACCAAATACCAATACGGCCCTGTAGAGTGAAAACGGTGAGACTTAGACCCTTGCTTTATAAGGCATTTCTGATTTATTTATCGAGTTCTAAGTATTTGTGGTTAAAGTTTGATTCCTTCGAACTGAAACACCCTGTACATTAGAAATCTTTTTAAAAAAATAGGATCTATTTTTTACAAGTTTTTGTTAAAAAAATTCACCTGGCAAGCAGTTAACCACATTCAAAAAGGTGCAGCAAAAAGTTCCGGATATACACGACCTTTTTTAAATATCATAAATTCCTCAATTTGCCCAGTTTTTTCGACTGTGACGTAAACTTCGTACAAATGATTACTTACAAATTGTCCTAAATCGATAATCAAATTGTATTCAACAGCAGGATGTATGAGCCCCAATCGTAGGAAGAATTTACCTCTACTAGTGTAAAGTGTTAGTAGTACTTATATTACCTGTACCTTCGGGATATGAGCCCTGCCCCATGAAGTACTCCTTGTTGACGCAATTTCTCAGACACTCAGGTATCCTGCCCATGATCGCCCTCCTGATCTCCGATGCTGCCATTTCCCGCAGTTCAGTGGCTGAGGCGTCGCTGTAGAAGGCCGCGTGCGGTGTACACAAGAGGTTTGGGGCGTCTTTGAGGGGGCCAGTGAACACATTGTAGGGTTCGTTCTCATGTACATCCAGGGCGGCCGCGCGGATGCGTCCTTGTTTTAGGGCCTGAGCTAGCGCGTCGTCGTCCACTAAGCCTCCTCGAGCTGTATGCAGAAGATTAAACAATTAGTAAGAAAAAAATCATAAGTTTACTAACAAACGTCCATGTCCAAGTTTTGCTGACAGGAAGAGATATTAAAAAGGCTACCTTTTTTTTTGTCTTTTTTTGGAAGATATCAAATTTAAATCGGTCAGTAATTAATATTTGCCTTTTATAGCATAGTTAACAAAATGAAGTAATATGAAATGATGTTAGTAATCCAAAAAATGAATGATTTAAAAGCTTCAGACAGAAGAAAACCTGTCGCTATTAATTAATTTTCATATCGTTTTCCGAAACCATGAGCAAAAAATTTAGGGGTAATTTAAAAAAATAATGGTATAAGTTTCTGACATTTTTGAGAAACTCATTATTAAATCAGTTATTTAACATCAAAGTATTTTTTTTATATCAATATTTTGTCAATTTTTTTTTCAATTCAGCATTTTTTTTCAAGACACAGTTTTAATTCAAGTGTAATGATACTGATGGTTAATGTTATAATATCGAATATCATTAAAATATAATTAGTATTTTTTCATGCTTGACCTTCATTTTTTTCTTTCTATGAAAACCTACTTAAAAAATAATTACTGTACAGCTAAAAAAAGGGATAATTTTAAAAACACGGAAAAATACTAAACAAGGCATATAAAATAATTGTTCCTCACTGTATATTACATTCTAGAATAAAAATAACAATAAATAAAAGCAATGACTGATGCTTATATTGCTGTTTTTAATAACCTCTTATTAAATTAATAGTCATAAAATGTTAAGAATGAAACAAGAATTACAGCAATGGTTTAGTTGGGATAATTATTATTACATACACTTGACCTTTGACCTTAAACAGAAATTTTGATGTTAGATATATGTAAATATGTGACAAACAACTTTCACCTTTGTTAAAAAAGTGTTATAATATTTAAATTTATTCATAATTCTAACACATTTTTTTAGATTAACAAGGCTTTGAAATTTATACACTGTAGTGCTATACTTGTATAAAAACTATAATTACATTTAATTAAATTGTTAATATGCCACATATAATATTTTCATTAGTTTACTTAAAATTATATAGGTATACATCTTATGGAGAATAAATGTCTTCAAAAACGTACAAGGAGTGAAGTTAATTTAAAATTTTATATATGCAGTTTTTATAGATTAATATTTAACTTTTTGTTTTAAAATCAAACTACATTACTTACATTGTGTTTCAAGTGAACTCATTACAAAACTACTTAATACCTTCATACTATTTCATATTTTGCCTTAACTTTTTTTTCAAATGAGCGAGTACATATTTTTTAATTTGGCACTTATTTGTTACTGGGAACAAACTACTCCAAAAGAAAAATCATCTAAATTCTAAATTTAAATCACCCTTTTTGACCAGAAAATTAATTACAACTTTTGGTATTATAGATTTCCAATAAATTAAGAAAACAATTGAAGACTATCAAAAAATCTTACGAAACGATTAGGTAGGTATTTCTGTTTTCAAATTTCACAATTTTTATAAGTTAATCAATGTAATTAAAGAGGATTTGGTTGACTTAAACGCTTACAATTACATAAATGCATAAAACATCATTTTATTTTATTTTCTACTTTACCTTAAAATTAAAATGGTCAAGTTTTGATAATTAAGGGGGGCCATACTCGAGGCCATACCCTATTTTAGGTGATTTCTATGCTCACATAGATAACTATCATGATGAAAAAATTAAAATAGGGGTTGCGGACCTGAAATTTCGAAAAGGGTCATGCGTGGACTACATGTATATATTTTTTATATTTATCACAAAATTAAATTTGATTTGTAGTTATAGGTACCTATTTAAATTTTAATTTGTTTTAGTTTTCAAAATTAATAATTCGAGAGAAGTAAAAAATTGCTATTTGTATGGTAGCTGATTATGAACAAATCTACTCAATCAAATCTACTCGAACCTTTTTCGAGATATCATTTTATTTTTTATTATGGAAATTCCTCTCAAAATTTTTTTGTCATAAAAGTTTGCTATGTAAAAAATGGTGTTGGTACCATGCTTTATTAGCAGAACATGATCACTTCAATTTTCACCAACCCCCACTGATAAATAAATACACATTTTAATGAGTTTTAACAATTAATCTGTAAATTTTTTAAAAAGTGCAAATAAAAAAGTTGTGATCAATTTTCACTCCACTTTTATTTACCACTTAAGTATATTACCTCTGTTGTAGAGATTCCTTACTGACAGTAGACAGAGGGCAATGGATTTTTTACATAATAAAAGTTGTAAATAATTTATTTTTATTGATCATCATGATCCCGCCTTCTCCTGAATCTGCCCATGAGCGTAATTTAACTTCTATCATAATATATAATATCCTTTGAATGTAACCCAGAAAAAATGTAATACCTTAATAATACTATCTTACAAGAAATTATGTATGTGAAATACTAAATGTACAAATTTTGTGTTAACACTCTCTGGCCTTCTGTTGGGTAAATTGTTATTTTTAGGGCACACCTTACTCGACCTAGTTCTAACACCATGCAAATATTTCCATGTTTATATTTGTTTATCAAACCTTAGCTAACAACAAATTTTGAAAATAAATTTAAGATCGAATTAATCTGGGAAAAGTTTTTCAAATTTTTCCTTGACAAAAAGTTTTCTAGCAAAATTTTTGTACATATGGAAGTTCTCAAAATCGAGATAAAAAGTATTTCGACTCACAGTAAAGATAAAAAGTTCATCGAATTTGTATATTTTGTCAGCTACAGGTAGTTCAGAAAGAAAAATTAATGTAGAAATTTTGCATTTTGCTAGAGGTAGCAAACAAAGTTCCGAAAAATTATAAAATTTCTGTCACAAAGTGTAAACTTTCTACACCAACAAACTTTTCATTTAGTAGTTCCATGTTATTTTAAATTCATTGAAATGTTTAAGACTCATAATAAGACTCAAATGTTTTATTTTTTTCAAATAAAATGTAAATAATTGAACATCACTAGAAATTTAAGAAATCGATAAATTTACAAAACCTAGCCACATCTGCACCAATGGGTGGCATATTTTCATATGAACTGAGCTGATTTTTATTTAAGGTTTCATTACTCTATGGAAACATCAACATTTTAAAATCGTAACATTTTTTTTAAATTTCAACATCATATTTCAAAAATGAAGCATCTCCGGACACATAGGACTTTTTTCATATTTGAACCACCTGAATTCAAATTTTGGTCAATTAATCCTGAAACACCTCATATAAACAAGTTGTATGACTATACATGGTGTTCCAATTTAGGTTCCATTTTCTACAGAGCCTTTATAAATGATTACAAGCTACATGACCAGTAATTTTGCTTGGAACAGTAATTTTATTTCCTTCATGTTGGCAATTAAAGATTGGTAAAATTTTTCACGAGATTCTATTCAACCAATCAGCAGTAGCAGTATTTCAAGCATAGATGTAACGGTTTGTCATTGTTCATTGTAAACGAGTCTTTAATACATAAGCTGATTTAAATAACACATATGGTGCTATTATATGAGCAACTGCATAATTTGACATTTTTAGTATTTTTATAATACAAAGAATATGGAGAAGATTTAATAAATCATCATTAGAATTCTAAGATATGTTAAAAGTGCAATTTGTTTTTTGACGATCTAATGAGAAATTAATAAAATAAACAATGATGTTCCAAAAGTCAGTTTAGAAGATAATAAAAGTTATCACATTTAATCTGTACTTTTAAGTTACTGTACAACCTGATTTTTAAGATTACTTTTTTCTAAACAGTCCATTTTTATACTTCAAACACTAATATACCTTTAATAAGTAAAAATGTATGGAGAAACCAGAATTAGGACTTAACGATTGTGCTGAGAAAAAAAATGAGACATCCCGTAACCAATCCTTCTGCATTAGGTATAACGAATTACTAAAAGTGTCAAATTATGCAGTTGCCCATGTACTATAAACACCATACCACATGAGGTTAGAAAAAATATGATTTCGAAAACGAAGGAATACCCCTTATATGAAAAATGATACGAGATAGAACCACTATGGTTTATTAACGGAAATAACATATTTTTGAATACTACCTGGACCATTTCTTAATAATTACTCTCGAGAAACATCGATTTTAGTAAATCGGAAGAGGTTATGCAACAAAAAAAATTGGAAAAAGTACATTTATCTTCTTTAGCTTTAGTTAATGACAGATTAATCTAGACAATTCTTCTAGACGAAAAGTCCAAGAAAATTCCCACAATAAATTTCTCAAAATATGTAATGTCCAAAATTTAGATATACAGGGTGTCTGCGAAAGGTTGGCAAATCTGGCAGTTGTAGTGGCCAAAATAAGTCGATTGAGTCAAATATGTCTTATGCAAATGTTGCTGGTTTCAAAGAATACAGGGCATTCAATGTTTGAATTTTATTTTGAAATTTCTCAATAATTTTAAAAACTGTCAGAGTGTGAACAACAAAATTGGCACTACTTATGTTTTTTGACATGACAAATAAGAATTTTTAACTTATTTTGACGTTACTTGTATAGGGTGTCAGTTATGCCCTATTACTTGATAAACAGGAAAATGTTTTTTTTTGCCTTTAGAATTACGGACATTGTGTATTGAAAATATGAAAAAACGTCTTTAGTTTCATAAAAAAGTTACTCCTGTTCGTTTTCAACATCTTTGATTATAGAGATATTTGTTTACAGGGTGGTCCAAATTTTATGCAGGAAACTTCGAGGGTAGATAGATCTCTTTAAAATAATATGTGTTTGCCTTATAAACATAGGTCTGGAACGGCCTCGTTTTAGAGATACAGGGTGTTGAAGTTGTTAAAAAAATTTGAATTTTTTGTTTATATCTTCCGGAATCTATTAACCGATCTCAATAAAATTTGGTACAGATAATGTATGACAGTAGGCCTTGCATTCCCTAAAATATGAGCTCTAAAGGATCGACCAGTGGTGTACAA